TGGTAAACAGATCAGGATAGAAAGTTTAAAAAATCGATCCTGAGGATCACGAAAATACGAAACGTTTGCTAATATATATCGACGCAGATTCTCTCCAAACTCGGGGTCGCCCCACACGCTTGTGGGTTCATCCCACATTCGAGCCACATCTTCGCGTTGTAATGCTCCACTCCACTGATCGGAAAATATATAAAAAGAATTAAAAATAAAATGTGGTGGCACAATACGTCTACAATGCGGAAAAATGGAATCCTTCTTCACCTTACATTTAGTGAACCATTTTTTCAGTCAAGTTCCGTAAAGTATCTGATGACAGTTTGCAGGCTTACCCACACATGTTCCCAAACCTTAATTAACTTTTTATTAATCCAAAACTATTTATGGAACAAAGGTTTTTCGGGTTTCCCAGGCAAGTTTTTCAAAGCCCGATTTATACTTAATTGATCCATAGCTGTTAATGTAACAAAGATTTTGAGGGCTTGCCATGGCACGTTCTCAAAGCCCCCCAATGATCTACGTAAGACTGCTTTTTATCACATTAGAAACATTAGTCGCACACGTCCATGCCTTAGTATTGACTCAACCAAAACACTGGTGCATGTATTAGTAATGTCTCGCTGAGATCATTGTAATTCGCTTCTTTATGGCCTACCTGATTATCTTATCCAGAGACTACGATATGTTATGAACGCAGCGGCAAAAGTGATCACTTGCAAGCAAAAGCTTGATCATGTCACACCACTACTTATTGAGCTACACTGGCTCCCCGTCCGTCAGCGTATTATTTTTAAGATTTTACTGTACACCTTCAAGGCACTCCATGGTGCGGCTCCAACGTATTTAACTGAGCTCATCAGAACTTATGTTCCTAAGCGAGCTCTCAGGTCTGCTGACCAGCTTCAATTGGAGGAACCAACACACAAGCTCAAATTGACTGGCCTGAGGACTTTCTCAGTGTGCGCGCCTTACCCATGGAACTCGGTTCCATTTGAGATTAAAAGAAGCGCACCTGTCTCTATATTTAAAGCTAAGCTGAAGACCTATTTTTTTCGACAAACATATTTTTAGACTTTAGATTTTTATTTAATCATAGGTTATGATAATTTGACACTGTAAAGCGTATTTGGGCGGTAGGAAAATGCGCTATAGAAATAAATTATTTATTTGTTTCGTGGTTTACTGCATTTGCGCGATCTTTTCGACCCAAGCTGCAAAGAAAAAACGCTATCATAGACGGAACTATTAAAAAACCTTTTGCCGAAAGAGACTTTATGCCCTTAAATGAACACGGAACAATTAAGAAACCTTTATGCCCTTAACTGAACAAGTTGACGAATATACTAATGTCATGTTTAATTTATTACAGTTTATGAAACCCCATCATAACTTCAATGTAATTTTTAATTCATAATAGTTATACGGGCACATATTTGTGTCAACGAAATAAACTATTTGTCACATAAAAAAAAAAAGATCCTAGTGTGATTGTGTGTCTTTTCCGGACTTGCCAGGGCACGTTCTCAAGCCCCTTTTGTTTCGTGGCTTACCTAAAATTCGCGCAAGGACCAGTACAGCTTGCATCTCATTATATCCCCGCACATTTTCCAGTTCCCAAAACCGGTTTGGGCGCCATCTTGGATTTGTCTGAGTGGCCGCCATTTTGAATGATTTCGTCTCAAGCTTCGTCACAAACTATTATCTATGATAGTGGACTTCGTGTTGATATATAAGAGACACGGACATAGAATTCGCATCCCCATGCGAATTGTTCTTTTTCTGGCTCTCCGTGAAATATCTCAGTCGGATACGATTGTAAAACAATTTCAAAAAGAACCGACTTCGAAGAGCGCTTATATTGTGACCTCAAAAGGCGGAAATGTCTCTTGAAAGGGTCCTTTCCTGTCATTAAATACAGTTATAATAATTTCTTTAACCTCACTAAAATCAGTTAAGTAAAAGTAAAATCGGTTGTCATCTTATCGGTAAACACGGCTACCATGATAATATTGCTAGCAGTCTATGTTTAAGAAGCAGAAGAAAATCTGGTAGTTCGACTACATTTTTATATGTAATTAAATACAGTAGAACCAATACAGTTAAGCTATGAACCACATCTACTTAACAATACTCAAAAATGAGTTGCCAATCATAAAAAGTCCGTAATCATGTTCAAGTATTGCCCCATGCAAACAATTATCTGTATTTTTCGATATTGTTCACTTGAAATAACACCTTTCAAAAAATTATGCTGCCAGCAAAGTTCACCATCAAAGTAACCTCAAAAAGTTTGATTATTCACTTTAATTTTTTCATTTTATTTTATTTTCAAATTATGTTTCTTAGATTATCTCTTTCCATTCACACACACAAACACCCACACATATATACATTATTCACATAAAGATATTTAGATTCTTGATTAATTGCCCTTCCATCAAACATGAATATCTTTAAACCCTCAAAAAAAAAAGAAATGTCGATTTTTCACTTTTTGATTTTTTTAAGACTATATATACCTATATATATATATTTACATATAATTCACACGGAGATATTTAGATTCTTGATTAATTGAACTTCTTTTCAAACATGAATATCTTTTCGCTCTGCAAATTAAATGAAATATAAAACATTCGCACCCAGTCCAATAACATAAATAAAGACAGGTGAGTGCTTTTCCGCTACACTGATGCTCGCCTAACAAAGTTCTTGGTACTAAACCGAATTTCAGGATCAAACATTGAGAAGGATTGAACTGGAAAAAAAAGTCCCTCTAAGGTAACTATGGCTATGCAAGAGTTTATAGAAAACACTTGGGTTACTTTATAAAAATATTGGCAAAACGTCAGCATCTCCAAATAGGTTATATTGGTCTAGATTACGTCGAATAGAATACGATCGTGCTCCCAAAGACGACTTCAAAGTTTAGTGACTTATGTTTGCAGGACATTATTTGTTTCAAAAGTGGACCGATTTAAAGACTATTTGATTCATTTAACGGGGTACATCATTTGTCTCATCTTCTCGAACGATTCGGAAATTGTTGTTTCTTACTTTTGCCGTAAATTGGCCTTGCTAAGGACATTCCGGAAAAAATATTTCATGTCTTTCCCTTTCCTTAATGCACAGAACTTATGCCGTATTCATAAGGCAGTCCTGAGTTAATTATGCTTAAACTAAGAAAATGGCTTTTCAGTGAACGATCTAGAATTAGAGCTGCACATATTGCTTGAAGGAGCTATTGATATCTAATCAGCGGACCTTGTTTCAGGTAAGTACTAACGGACACGATACATCATCGAGCTTTTGTTGTCTAACAATTTATGCAAGGGAGCTTCATGGTTGAATAAGCTAAAAGAACACTTTTTCATGAAAACTTTGCCGTTTCATGAAGAAACAGGAACGTTCTTATGACTCTAAAATGTAGTCTCTTTGTAACTTAAAACCTTAATTACATGGAAAATTCATGATGTTTTGCTTTAGTTTCCCTTTTTCAAAATCTTATAGTTCAAGAGGAAGAAAGAGACCCAAGACATTCGACTCGACGGAGAAGCCAATAACATATTTGGTTGAAATTGTATCAGACGGAGGAAAAATCATAAAATCGACCCTTCATTTTTCATTTTGAAAATATTTCTTGGGGAAACTACAATATTGCTTTACCACTATTGCTAATTTCAAACAGAAAATACCGCTTTACGTAATGCGGGAAGACAACAACTGCTTGGTTTCGGAGTTCTTCAATACTTTTGTTTTTCTTTTCTATCTTTTTTTTTTGGTGGGTTGCTTATTGCTTTTTTTCGTTTTTGTTTCTGTATTTTATTTAAAATCGCCAAAATCTCTTAACTTTCCAGTTTCTCACTAGTTCGCTTTTCGAACTCTTACTGCCGGTCATGTCGCTTGGTTATTTATATGCCTAATGCTTACAGAAGAGCTCCGTAGCAATAATTTAAGAAGCTCTTTTTCATTTTGTGAACTAACCACGTTAGCTCCGAAAAATGGTAGAAAGCAGAAAAAGCATGGTATCGCCTTTAAAGGTAGGAGGTACCACAAGAAGTATAAATAAAATTGACTGCAAGATTGACGAGCCTGACAAATTTGGAATCATTTCTAACATTGAGCACGTTTTCTGCTTGCAGTTTCCGTTGGAGTCCGGTTTCTATTACAGGAGCAGGCTTTCCCTTCCCTTTCTTCTTCCCCATAGTAGCCCACTGATATCTTTATAAGGTGCGAGTCCTTCAAACTGCTTCTTTCTCGTGAATTCAGAAATATTGGGAATAAATTGCTCAAATAACCCACATGGATAAGAAAGAAGGAGAAGTGAAGACATTTTGACTGAAAAAAATTAAGTTAAAATAATCACGGTGGAACGCTTGATTTAATTTTTGAACATATATCATATTTTTATGAAATGATGTATTCAATTACTAAAATGTTATCAATCGGTGCTTTCTGAGACTCAAATTGATGCTCCTAAATGTTGCGTAATATAAGATTCTCGCTTGTGCAAAAAGCAATAGGTTTCACGTGCAAAAGCGCAAAAGACCAATCGTGACTCGTTTGTCACTTGAAAGAGCAGCTGCTAACATTCAAATTATTCCCAGCTAGTGCGGATTGATTATAATTTTTAATTTCACTACTCTGATGTGTCCTCTCATACGTCTTCAAGTGCTCTTAGTCTTCCAACTTAACTTTTAGTGCATGAAGCGTCAATCATTCCCCCTTCTTACAACTTATCTTAAAGCTTGTAGAAGTTAATACCTAGTTAAGAGTCAAGAGACATCCTGGGCAAATCCATGGTGTTCCACTAAGCACCCTGGTTTAATTTTTATTGAACTGCCACATTTATCAAAACTTTCTGCTTCCCATACGCGCCAGTTATCGGAAATTGTTGGCCATTAGTGTCATACACCTGGTGAGATTGCTTAATTGAATCTAGACTTTAGAGAGGATAAAGTCCCCTCTATTTCTCTTTCAGAGAGTGCATTAGCTGCCAAGAAATGGAGCTATTTCTTAGGTCGAAGCGCTTTCGTCTCGTTGGGTTTCTTCGGCTTGCAATTATCTTTCCTGTCATGAAAGGCTGCGCTTCTCAACACCTTAGAGGTAGGATGTGCTAATATGATTCTTACTCCCTTAAAATGATTCAGTTTTGAAACATTTTTAGGTTAACTTCCCAATATTTCTTATATATCTATGTCCGTTTTTATCCATTTCTCTTTTTAAGTCAGTTTATCGAATTTTCGAACTTCCTCATGGACATAAAAAATTTGACATAAATTTTGACTCCTTCTATATTTCTCAAAATTAGCGTGAAAAAAAAAAACCCAACCATTTTTTTTAAAAGAGCAAGTGTATATATTTTCAAGATAGTTTGAATTTGAAATCATTTGCTGTCAGCTTAAATAAACAAAGGAAAAAGTTATTTAATTCTATCAAAAATATCAATGGTTTCAAAGCTTTTCTACTTAAAAAATGCAATATAGAAAACAAACTTAATTTTCTTAGGTTTCCGTATATGTCACTTCGACTTGACAGACTTATAAAATTAAGTTTACGTATTTTTGGAGATCTTCGACTACATAAATGCAGTGATATTTTCAAAAAAAAAAATTATATGAGAAAAATGCCAAAATCAGCAGACATCTGCTAGACTTAATGAACATTTGAAATTTGTTCCCTTTTCACCAATTTGCAGCAAGTCATTTTGAGATTAGTTAGCTTGTACAGCTTTCTTCTTTTCCGCTTTAAGCTTTTTAAAACACCTGGCCATCACATCTAACATCTCCTAACTCAAAGCCACCGAGCGACTGAGACCCTAACACTCAATAAACCAGAATTAACCTGACACAGTACATCAATTTTCAATCTCTATTTGGGTAAAAACTATTGTCTTCAGTTTCTTGAATTTCAATCGACCCTCCTCTTTTCCAGCCAGCTTTCGGGGTAACAAGCTATTATGTAAACAAGACATACCGAAATTTACAAATTTAAGACAAAATGAATAAGCCAATTTGTCCGAAAGTGACTGATTGGAATGTGTTGTGTAGTCTGGTTCTTTTCAGAAATGTAAAATCCAGAATTAGTTTCTAAATCCAGGGTCTCTATTTTCATTCCAGGGAAATGTACCTTCGACGAGAATACATTCTGTAGCTGGTATAACGAAAGACACAGCGACCATTTTGATTGGTCTCTTCGTCAAGGAAGTTCTCCCAACAATCGAACAGGTATATAGTCAAATCTTTTCATCTAGATGATCACATGGAAAAAAAAAAATACATATATATAAATATTGGGGGAGGAAAAAGACAAATAAACTACCAGTTCATCCCTAAAGACCTGTTTCGTGGTTGCCCACTCATCAGAGGATTTAATGAGAATAGATCTTTACCATCGCTTATATACAATATGATCTAATTTATGCAGTACGGAATTTAACAGTTAGTTGTGGCGTAGGAGGGCTTTGTTTCTGTGGCGGAAGGAAGACACGAGTTTATTACGTTTGTTTAGTGTTGATAGTTCGGGGCGGCAGATAATAAAGAATTTTTCTTTAAGGCAGAGATTACATCTTCTACTTGAGCTGTTGTAACAGACTATAAAAGACTTCCCATAAATAAATAAATATATATATATATATATATATATATATATATATATATATATAAATGTGGGGGTAGAGTCTGCCTTAGCATAAAGTGCTAAATGTTGTGGTAGCAGAGCTGAGTATATATAGCTGAAAGAATCAAATAGGACGCATCGATTCTCTGTTACTCTGAGTTTCGCGCCTAAGCGCTCGTCGGACAGAACTTTTCCGGCGCTAAACTCAGAGTAACAGAGAATCGATGCGTCCTTTGATTCTTTCACTTATATATATATATATATATATATATATATATATATATATATATATATATATAAACTCCATCAGAATCCCCTTTGGATAAAACTAAACTGAGCTGTAAATTCATAAGTATATACCTGCTGATGGGAAAATGTGCCATTTTTTTCTAAAGATAAAGAAGCATATATCTACATCGAAACGTCATCTCCACGTATGTATAGTGAAAAAGCCAGGTTGAACAGTATATGGAAGACAGGCCCACAGAGAATGGAGTTTTTTTACTACATGTACGGCAGTACTATCGAGACTCTGTCGGTGTATGTCAAAATTAACGGCAGCGAATACAGGGTATGGAGTCGCTATGGAAGCCAGTTATCGAGCGACTGGATCAAAGGCTGTGTGACTTTAAACTACCGAGGAACTTATCAGGTAAAAACTTCTTTTCTTTCTCAGTTGTTTTTTTTGTTGGTTTGTTCGTGTGTTTGTTTGTTTGTTTGTTTTTGTGTGTAGATGCTTTTTTTTGTTGTTCTAGTGGGCTCCTTAAGATAACTTCTCTGTGTTACCCTAGTTGGCTTGCAAATGCATTTTTGAACCTTAGAAAGTGTTTCGCCAAATATAGTGATTCAAGATCGAATGTAATATACTTTTTTTTTTCTTCCTCGAAAGAAAACTAATTGCCATTTTCTTGTCTTTCAAACTTGTTGATTGGCTTGAGACCTCCTCTTTCCATAGTAATCTTCGAAATTTCATGAAAGTATCGGGTAGTATGGCAAAATCAGGCATCCAATAAGTAATTGATGTCAATATTACAAGGCATGTGTTGAAACGGAAAATTTCCCCAAGAGAAACATCGCTTTTGTTTCTATTATAGTACAGAGGACGAATTCCATTTTGATTATTTGCATATGTTCATTTATCTCAGATTATAATTGAAGGAGTAGCAGGCATTTCGAATGCCTCAAACATTGCCGTTGATAACGTCAGCTTCAGTAAAAACCTGAGTTGCGTTTCTAATGGCAAAACCACACCTGAGGAAATATTTGAAGGTAAAGGCCCAAGCTATCGCATGAGTTATGTCTGACATTTACCTAACCTGACTGTCGGAAACAGTTACATGTATTATAGGTTTTATTTTTCCTCCTTCGTACAAAGAACGTGGTAATTCATCACAATCTGCATTAATTAAGTGGTTCAACTAGCTGGGAGGTAATACAACAAATGTTAAAGAAAGTTTTACCGCTGATATAATTCTGTAATTGGGTTATGTGGGCACAAATTAACAGCATAAAAGTTTACCGTATACAAGAATAGACAAGTGGAAAGACAAGTCTTAAGTTCATTCAGAACTAGTTAAATTATGCTTCGATTTGGTTACTCTAGTAAACTGCACTTTCAATGGAAACTTTTGTGGGTGGCGTAGCTTGTCGCTGTCACCGGATCAGGTCAGCTGGAAGAAAGCGGGCAACAAAACTGGACAGAATGGAGATTTTGCTGGTGAGAAGAGCCTCTCGAAAGGAGCTATTTTTTTATTGAATTCAAAGAGATTTTGGAGTTGAATGGAGTTCACGAGTTAACCAATTCCCTCCCATTCAATTAGTGCTAGATATCAATTTTAAAAAGTGCAGATGAACATCTTTTTTAAATTGAACTCTGTGATAACACTTTCGTAACATTATTTTACAATTTCACACAAAGGAAACTTCATTTACACTTCTCAACCTATAAAAGAAAATCGGTCCATCCATCTATTGAGTCCTCTTATGCTGGGACCAAAGTGTTTTCGCTTCTCATATCACATGTCCGGGAAGAAAGTTGGAAAACTTGATATCCTGCTTCAAGTCCGGAGGCAGCAAGAGGATTACTTGATATGGCAGAAAACTGGAGATCAGGGAAATAGGTGGATACAAGGTAGCATTGGTATCGGCTACACCGGCGAATTCCAGGTAGAAAATAAAATGTGAGAGGAAATTGTCAGAAAATTAGATTTAGTCCTACTCAGTTACAGATGTCTTCTTTTCCTGCATCATTAAGTTGTTATGTTACACTCGGAGCAATCTATTTTTACTCCTTTTGTTAGCCTATTGCAGGTAAACAAAACTACCGTGTATATAACAAGATTCACTCAAAATTTGATTACAACCGATTTGCGATTTGGCTTACAAGGAACATCCTCAGGATGGTTCGTAAAAGGATTTAATGAATCGGCTAGACCTCTAGCCATGCACAAAAATTATCATCCATGATAAGTTTGGTGCTAATCTAAATCCTCACTATTTGTTTCGACTGAAATAATTTCTGTTGTTACAGATTGCGCTGAAAGCAACTCCTGGCAAAAATTACACAAGCCGTATAGCTTTGGATAGCTTCATTTTAACTGATGGGCTGTGTGACGACGAAAGTGAACTTGACAGCATTCAACAAGGTTTTTCACTCGTATCTGTCATATTCGATTATTACTGCTTGCACGTCTGAACCAACATAATTGTAGCTTCTGATATTTATGCCATGTCGGTTCCAAATGCAGATCACCGTTTTTAGGTCTTCTTCGTAATTGTAACTTAATCGTTACTTTTCTAGATATATTTCAGCGTATTTTTCTCGTTAAGCCGCTTTCCATTAGTAATTTTTTCCTTCCAAACAATGCTCACAACAATTTTTATACTGCAGGAAACTGTAACTTCGACAAGAATTTTTGCTTTTGGAAGAATGATTTAAATTTCATTTTCAAGTGGACTCCTCAAGGAGACAGAGCACCCAAGTATCAGACCGGACCCAGCGGTGATCATACTTCAGGTACGGTCGATTTAATACCATTCCTATTGGTCAGTTGAAGAATTAACTAATCTTTAATTGTCGATTAGTCATACTTTGTTTGCGAAACCAGCATGGAATGTATTTAGTTTTTCGCTTATATTTTTTACCAAAAACTTAGATGGTGATGCACTTTTTGTAGGGAATACATAATGGGTAGAACGAGTCGTAATGTTCATCAAATTGACTCCTCTCTTTTATCGTAAGTTCGCTTTTTTTCTTCTTTATGGAAAACTCATTGAGAGTACAGTTTTCAATCGTAACCCTTTTTTAAAAAAGATGGTTTTGGTTGACAAAAGAGGAATTAAGTGAGGAAAAATCAGATGGAAATAGGGAAAGCTATTTAAAAATTCTCCAGTCTCACCATTTGCCTTCCTCGGTTTGATTTTGGTGTTTGGACTTATTTGGATAATGATTTCATCCAAATAGTTCAAGTGACCGCTTAACAAAGGGTGATCACTGAATTAGTTGCTGCTTGATACAGGCTCGACTGTTTACTTTCCTTTTATCAAGGCATTGGCTCGTACATTTTTATTGATGCTTCAAGTCCTCGCCAGCCTGGAGACACCGCGAGGTTGACAAGTCCATGGATGCGGGGTCCACAATGTATGACCTTCTTCTACCATATGTTTGGTTCACACATGGGTTGTGTGGTTATGTATATTAGAATCAAGGCTGGAGAGAAGTTACAACCAATATGGTTGCGGTCGAAAGATCAAGGAGACCGTTGGAGACAAGGGCAATTAAGTATCTACAGCAACTTTACGTATCAGGTAACATGAATGTCTCGACACTTGATTCTAGCTCCCTGCTCTGTTGTCCTTTCCTATATCGCATCAGGCCAACCATAGCAAAATGGCAGGTTCTTGAACCTGATTCCGCATATTATTTGAATAAAGAAGCAGCCGTGATATCGTATTCAGGTTTGAATAGGGAATAAAAGAGGCAGAGCATTCTCGAAAAAAGGCAGCTTATGTGTCATCTGGCAGTCAAAATGGCAGTGCCCCTTTTTTACAATGTATCGTATCATCAGCCTCTATTTTGTCCCTTGCTCTAAAAGATAATCATTGATGGCATCAGAGGAGGTGGTGATTCAGGGGATGCAGCCCTGGACGACTTCACCTTTCAAAGAGGACCTTGCCGGGAAACAGGTACAGAAACTATTTTGATTTCCTTTACGCTGGTGTTAAACGGCTCCCTCTTTTATGTCTGATTTCTTTTTCCTGAAAATAGACATTTATTTGTTTCATTATCAAACTTCAGCATGTTCTATATACTGTTATAACTGGAAATTTTTAACGAAAAGATGAATCAAATGATGTTTCTAACATCCCTTATCGGGTTGGGACCTCCTATTACTTTCTTTAGAGAGAGTATATTTGATAGCAAACCTTTATCACATTATGATTTCCATCTGAGTGTTAACCTATTTCAAAAATGGTGACCCTTATTGTTATTCTTGATACGAAATTTTAGAGGATATTTGAATATTCAAATTAAAGAGGCTCAAAATGATTACTCTGCCAATGTTGCATGAGTATAAATGGTTGAACTACAAACCTCTGCGCTGATAGTGATGCTACCTAACAATCTGTTTTTCTTTTATCTTTCATTTAAGATGAAACCACGTATTACGTTTCGTCTTATATGGGTAAAGATTATAAAATATCCTCTCGACCTTCTGAACACAGTCTCTACTCCGAAGAATTCCGTTTTACTCTCAAACATCCACGAGGACTTCCCACAGAAACCTCTTATTTTATCTACTCTGAAGCATCCAGGAGACACAGTTTCGTTAGGGAAAAACTAGATCTGTCTGACTATGATAACTATCCGTTGGATGTGGTTGTCCTTAATGACAACGGACCGTCTCGAATTTGCAGGAAGATTTATTTTATCAAAAGGGATAACAGTGGACCCATGATAAGTCTGGACGACTACAGTGCCGTGGATTGTTGCAAAGGAAAAATTAAATTTTCTCTTTGTGCTCTCAATGTAACTGAGCCAGGTAGGAAAATTAACCGCGCGTTGTTCATTTTGAACGATTTTTAAAGAGAAACATTTTTTAAATCTTTGGCCATTGCGCAATAACTGTCCAGTGATTTCGCACCACGTGAGGTAAAATGGCCAATTAAATCGCGCGAATTTAGTTGTGGGTGATAATGGTTGATATCTCAAATAAAAACTTTCAAACCCAGCTCTGTATTTAAAAAAATAATATGTCTATTAATTAAGAAATAAAATTACTGCTGGGACTCGCTCGTCTCACAACGTTGTAATCAATTGGAAAATTGTTTCGACCCGTTGATGCTACCTTCGTTTTAACAAAAAGCACAGATCCAAGGAAATTATAGTTGGTAAGGTAGATACATTTACCTTACATCGGTTAGTGTTTAAGTAAGCTTAAAATAAGGTTTTGTTAATTTGCAGATAATCGTTTGACTTCTGGATGTCAGCCCGGTTGGTACGGAGTAGGAAAATCTTGTTTCATGTTTTATTTTGAATCACCACGGGAGTGGCGCTTGGCGCGAACTTTGTGCCACAAACAAAATAGCGAAATGGCCATTGCCAAAAGCGTTGATATACTGGAAGCCCTTGCCAATCTGAGAAAACATCTAAATTCTGAAGACCTGGATCTTTTTCTTGGGCTAAAGAGCAAGGTACGCTGGACTTGGGTAGACGGCGAAAAGGTGTCAAACGTACACAAAGCTTTGTGGAAGCCTACCGAACCAAGTGGTGATGGCAAGTGTGGATCTCTCCAAAGTTTTGTTAGTTGGGATTCAAATTGGCGTGGGTATGGATGGGGCTGGAATGACGATCCTTGCACCAGTCTTAGGAGATACATTTGTGAAGAACCACTGGGTACGTTTCTTAACAACTTGTAATAACAACTGTAATCAATGTAAATATTTGAATGGCATCTGCTTTAAAGATAATTTCGAAGGCAAAACAGCCTAACAGATTAACCGCTCAACATAACCCCATTTTAAGTGAAGTTGTTTTGCTGACTGGTATACGCTTTGTTCAGACATAGTTCCACAAATCCGATTGATAAACTCAAGTGATTTACTCCGTAGTTGATCGTGTTTCAGATGTTTTATTGCACTTTAAGGGTGTTAAAATTTTCAAAAACATTACGTCGTTTATCGCATTATTCAGAATCTGTCCGAATAATTTATGTTTTTACTTCTGCTTCTAGATGTTCCCCTCCCTGTGGCTCTCTTCTTCGTGGGTGGTATTAACAAAACTGTGGACCTCAGTCCAAGTGGAGCCAATATGGCTGTGCTCAGTGACATCACCTTACAACCAGGTCCTTTTGGAAATCCAAGTGGCTCCTTGTTTCTAGGAACTAGCAATAGCCATGTGGAATTGGAAAATCGCGGAGAAATCGATACAAGGTTTTCGATGAGTGTATTTGCTTGGGTGCATCTTAGTAATTCTAGCACTGGTCAAATAATAGATCACGGTTGCTCGATGACGGTCTTCCATTCAACCCTCGGAGTCGAAGTGCTTTTTAAGGAACGGGAAAGTTCTAGGAGTTATCTCATACATAAAAAGGGCGTTCTTAAAGCAAACTCTTGGAATTTCATCGGTGTTACGTATGAGTACTACAGCGGTATGGCAACTATATGGGTAAACGATAACATCGTCATGCGAAAAATTGTTTTAGCTAAAATGGAGTTAGCGACGCATGAGAATGTTCTTGTTGGAGCCTCAAAAAATAGGAAAATGCAATTCCGCGGCAGGATTTCTTGCTTGCAGTTTTATGATCAAGCATTATCTGTGGATCAAATCATGAAGGCTAAAATACGATGTAATAAAACTGGTAAGTGGGTTTAATTTACTTGTCAGTTATGATGCCCACAGAGCTGTACAAAATCCAGTTAAAATCGAAAAGTGCTGCAGCGTAATAAGATACTCCACAGCAACCTAACATAAGATATGCCAATGATACATCATGCCTTCAACATCGGTAGACCTCACCCATGAATTTCTTTAGCTGTTAACCTATTTTATATGGCTGATCCGTAAGATTTGTCGCAATAATTTCATTTTTTTAAACGTTTGGAAGTATCTGCACCTTCAGTGGAATATAGAAGTGTCGGATGCTACGCAGACAAGCCTCATCGAGCAATTCCAATACTTGAAGGAGCAGACCCCATCTCTGCCGAGAAGTTCGATGTGCGTACGAGAGCGATTGAAAAGTGTGCCCTTGCAGCTCGAAAAAGAGGATTCACCATGTTTGCTGTTCAATATGGTGGGCAGTGCATGACCGGCGCAAAGGCAGAACATACTTTCAACAGATATAATGAGAGTAACGATTGCAAAGCCAATGGAAAAGGAGGAACATGGGCAAACAATGTTTACATCATTCGAGGTTCGTTAATGGATGTAATGATACCATGTTTTACACTTGAATAGGAGTCAATGATGTTGCTAATAAATTCCACGAGTTTGTTTCCGTAATATACTTTTCAGCGGTTGGAACGTACAGTTTTAGTGTCTTGATATTTGTGAACCGTAAAACACTTGAGTTTTTAGTTTCCGGAAAATAAATGTCCCGAAATGACTCTAGAATTTATTTTTTATCAAGTTCATTTAAATAGTACAATTCAGTCTGATCAATTTATTTTTTTTCTTGTTTTGTTTTGTTTTAGATTCTCGAATCGAAACTTTTCAGTCATTTTCCATTTGTTCGAAAATTTTGGGTGTGTCGGATATGCAACTTTATTTTTGGCCTATCATCGCTTACTAGTCAGTTGTAGCTCACGTTTGCACGTCTAGAAATGTCTCTAATTAACGGTTTTGCGTAATAATTAAATTGCTTACATTTCAAATAGATTATATCGATATTGGATGCTACAGAGATCGCCGCTCGCGTGCAATTGCATCACTCGAAGGAAAAGATCCGCTATTGACAGGATGGCACAAAAAACGTAAGAACTCTATCGAAAAATGCGCTATAGTGGCTCGCAAAAGGGGCTTCCGCATGTTTTCAGTTCAGTATGGCGGGGAGTGTTACGGCAGTGCAACAGCCGATAGGACTTTTGATAGATATGGCAAGAGTGATAATTGCGAAGGTGACGGAAAAGGAGGAGCTTGGGCGAATCGCGTCTACGCCTTTCAAGGTTTGTGACTGAACTTATTTCCATTCAATTCCTTATTTAAGACATAATCAGGTAGTTTGATGTTTTATGTCAAGACTGATATCACTTAATTTTTGGTTCCCTGTTTGACACTTAAATCTTTACTGGGATCTCTACATGTTTTTATAAAAGGTTAAAGATATTATTGAATGATGATATTAAAATAACCTCATCCTCAGTTTATTATCTCTAGGCTGCCGTTGATATCTAAATTAACTAAAAAGTAAAAAAAAAAAAATGAATCGGATTGTTTTGTTTTTTCTCGTAGTTTCTTCTTCTTGGTGCAGTCCCAGCTTTTTTCCATTCCATGGGGGTTGCTTTTCCTTAGATACCGACAACAAAGTAAACTGGAAGCAAGCCTTGGAAAGGTGCAATTTCGAAGGAGGTACTCTGGCAAAGATTTCAACGGAAGGGTTAAGACGTGCTTTCTCTGTTGTGTTAGAAGGAATCAGATCCTACCGTTCAAGTCATAACAACTATTTCATTGGTATGAGAGGTCAATATGATGACTGGACGTGGTTTGATGGCACTTCTTTGAATGACTCGTTGTGGATGTCAGGACATCCAACTAGGGACGTTGATGACCTAGCCTGTGCTTATCTTCCGGCTGGTTTATCCAGAATAAAGAATGGTGCTTGCAAATCACATAGATACCCATTGTGTCAGAAAAGATCGGGTAAATTGTAATATGCTTAGCACTAATATGCATATTTATGCAAGAGAAGGGCGTTCTGCGGTAAAACACTTCTTAAAAAGTAACTTTGTGGCCTAAAGTCTAAAAACTTCTGAGAAACACGAAAGAAACTAAGTGTCAAAATCAATAAAGGGAAACTAAAGGGAAAATAGATTTTAACACTTTCATTTGGCATATTTACATTTATTTTTTGGGCAATGACTTCAGAGTTTTCAATAAGACTTTATAAACATAAAGCTGGACGCTTGCGTTTTAAGAAATGTTTTGAATGGAGAACGCCTTTTATCATGTCAAGATAATGTTCAAACTTGCTTTACTTTCACTGCACATTGCTTCATTTCTGTCTCGAGCAGATATCTCAGCTTTAAAAGGCTTTAAACTAAAAACTGAAAGCTTTCGTTGTAACACATTTTTTATGAATAGAGAACGCCTTTCTAAACCATTTCCCTCATCTATTTGAAAAGTTGCAATTAAATTTAGATGGTTACTGTTACATTAAGGCTTATGAGGGTTCTTGCTGTTATTTTCATAATTTCTAAGAGTACGTTGTACCGCTTTCTTTGGTTTTGGTCTCCTCTTTCGATGCATTATTTTTTCCTTGCTACCTAACATCCCTCTTTTTCTTCCTTCAAGGTAATTGAAACGCGTTGGTCACCGTAACGGTGGCAAATTTCAAATACTATTTGTATTTTGATACATTAGGTCTTACTATTTACAGAGTCTTTCACTCTACTCAAGCTAAATGCAATTCAAGCATCTTCCAAACTATAGTGCCTATGTTTTTTTCTTCGTCATGCAGAAGCTTCTTTGTCAAACCGAAGTCAAACCACTTGTTCCAGTGTTTTGCTGCCCTATGAGTCCTCTTTGGCTATTGATAAATCTTACACCACCTGCTTTCGTTCAGGAAGGGTAAGGAATTGTCATAACAAAGGGAAGAATCCACTGTCAATGCATTGGATTTCCTTTCACATAATTAAAAGCCAAATATTCATTGCGTATGGTTAGATTGGGTTAACTAATTGTGACATTTATTTCAGTGTTGTTTTGTGTGTGTGTTTGTTTCTCATTTGCTTTCTGTTAAGTTCTAACGCAACACTTATTTCATTTTTTTATTTATTTAGGAGTCGAACCCTTGGTGGCAAGTTAACCTTGATAAACATTTGTACGTAATGTCTGTGGTAATCACTAATAAAGTTGATTGCTGCCTACGGGATAACGGGATGATCAACGTAAGAGTATTAAACAGTCCACACGGCAGAGACTCAACCTGCTCCAAATTGGTGAAATATGATGGAGTAACCCAACAATTTAAATTTTACTGCTCACCACCAGCGCTAGGAAATTACCTGAAAATAACGTTGACGGGTAATAATGTCTCTCTTGTCCTGTGCCAAGTTGTCGTGGAAACTATTGGTAAGTTGCCATTAGTTCTCTTTCTACATAAAAGTTCCTTTTTAGAGCCTTCCTTTGGATCACATAACTAAGGCTGCGTATTCGAAGCCTTTTAGGAACTATTTCAGTTCCTACAGTCATCGACTTGATGCGTCGGGGTCGAGAAATTCATGCTCATTTTAATAGAATAAGTGTAAACGGCTGAGATTGCATAAATTACAACTTTTACAAACTCTTTCCCATCCTTTAAACAATCTTATGAGCGAAGGAAGAAAATCCCATTTTTTTTAGTATTCATATTCTTAGGCGGTCTTATATTCCCCCCCCCCCCCCACCCCCCTCCTTCTCTTTTACCCTAAGTAGCAGTTAACACGTTGCAATGTGTCTATCCACGTCAGATTCGCTTACCGAGGCAAAGGGAGTGCTACGAGAGACATGGTATCAAATGAAAAATTACGAAGCCAGGAGTAAATCAATCATGCGCGAACATCCACTCATTCAAGGTCCGCCTGGAAGCCGGATAGTTTTGCCAGATTTTGATGCTCCTATCAATTTGGAAGACAGATACGCGCAAAGATTGACAGCTTACTTGCTGGTAAACATGAAAGTGGAGTTCTTCCTGCTCATTAAAACTTTGCTTCGTTTTCTTTCGGAGAAAATGAAAAATTAGTCATTCTTTGTTAGTCTCACACAGTCTGCTTTCATCTTCCAGCTTCTAAGACAAAGTTTAATCGCCTACTTACCATTTTTAGGTTCCTCAGAGCGGTACCTACGTCTTTTACGCTGCGTGCGACGATTCATGCGAGTTGTGGAAGTATAATGTCGTGGAATTCGGATTTGTAAAAGTTAACACCAAATCAAACAAGAGTGTAAAGAACCGAAGTCCAATTATATCTGTAAACAAATTCACTAGACATCTTCAATGGGACAGGTAAGCGATTCATTCGAAGGATAGAAAGCCGATTCTCTTGAATTTTTAAGACAGTCAGAGTTATGTTTAAATTTTTCGTGACCTGTCGTTTGAAGGTACGAAGAGCAATCATCGCAGCCAATCTTCCTTGAAAAATGTCGCTTCTATCGTATGGAGGTGTATGGAATGGATGTAGACGGCAACGATCATATATCAGTTGGCATGCGTAGGCCGAATGGAGATTTTGAAAGGCCCATTCCTGGGAAAAGACTATTCTGGACGAAACCAGGTATTTCGGTTTGGTTTTTATTTTTGTTTTAATTTTTGCGTGTGTGTGTGTGTGTTTTGTAATGTTGTTTTGTATCTTTTTTGTTGTTGTTGTTTTCATTCTTATTTATTTATTTATTTTTTTTTTTGTTTTTTCACCTTTTTGAATTTTTCTATTTTTGTTGATTTTTTGTTTGGTTGGCTTTTTTCTTAATCGAAGCTGCTTCGGAACGTCGTCAACTTTTTTGAAAGGTAAATTATGTTAAAAAAAGAAAAAAAAAAGGGGAAGGATAATGCATAAAACTAGAAAAAAGCTAGAGACTAAAAAAGCTAGTTTGCAAGTGAACGGTTACCAGCGGGGAAAGAAAGTTTAGATAAGAGAGGACTTGCTATAATTCGCGTTCTACTCTTTTCATCCGGAGAAGCCTGATTTCATGAACTTCATTTCGTAACCCAGAGTACTTACTGAATTCAAACCGTGGGTTAATTCTTAAAAAAAATAGTGGATCAGTGTCAGCAAGGATTATTGAAGGAACGGCGTAAATTTTTAAATCTTAAACAGCGATTTAACCATAAAAAAATGCGCTAAAACATTTCTTTAAACATATTAAGATTGCTAGAAACCAAGACGACGTTTCGAAGTTGCTAAACGTCATTTAAAGTCAAAAAAATTTTTTGAGTTGCAGTCTATATATACCAAAATGAAAATGGATGATGAAAAGCTAAACCGTAAGAAAAGATCTTTGGATGGAAGACTAATTCTTATTGTGTTGTTATCATCGGTGTTTCTTTCCGCTATGCCTGCCGAAAAATTTATAAAAAGAAAATTATTGATAGCGGAATCAATAAGGTCCATACAGTAGTCGAGACGACAGAAAATAGAGTGCAATTTGACACATTCTGCATTAAAAGCCTCCGTGGTAGACGAAAGGGCATAGGCTCGGTGATATACTGGTGGTACAACGGAAAGAAACACCGATGACGGCAACACAGTAAGAATTAGTCTTCCATTCCAAGATCAAGTGGCCGCTAAAGCGGTTCGGAAGCAGTAGCGCGATCTTAGCCATAAGATTCTCCCTACATTGCAGCCTGTTTTTGTGAGCAAGAAACTGGGACAAGTTCTTAAACCCAAAGAAATCAAGCCTTCAATTGTGAATCGGCGATGCGTTCTTTATCTTTTTTTATGTGATCTGTGCGATGCAGATTATGTCGGGTACACAGCCCGACACCTTCATCAGCGCATTGCAGAGCACAAATATTCGGCAATCGGTCGACATTTCGTGGAAACTCGCTATAGCAACCACCTCTTTAAAGAAAACCAATTTAGAGTATTAAGAAAGTGCTAAGAAAATTTTGATTGTTTAGTCTTTGAAATGCTGTTCATCAAGAATTTCAAGCCTACTTTAAATATCCAGACGGACTCCATACGTGCCAAACTTTTTGTTTAATTACTATTGTTCTTTTCTTACGGTGTAGCTTTTTATCACCGATTGTTATTTTGATATAATTATGTAGAATGCAACTTCTAAATATTTTTTTGACTTGATAATGACGTTTAGCCAAAGTCGAAACGTCGTCATTTTTTTAGCAATCTAAATATGTTTTTTAAGAAATGCTTTATTGCAATTTTTAATAATTAAATGCTTCTCTAAATCACTTCATCTTAAACAGGGACACGAAAATTGGCGGTGACACTCAACGATCTTGAAACGTCGATAGCTGCCATCGTTGGGTCAAATCTACGCATTTCAGGTTGGTATTGATATAAGAAGTTTAACAATGCTTAAATAACACGTCAAGCTTTCATATTTCATTTGGGAATATGGGGAATTGATGTGAAATATAAAATGAAAGCTTAAAAAATTTCAATTTTAGATCTAATTCTTTTTAACCCTAAGGTACCTACAGCTTCTGTTGTCAGGGCATATATTGCCCTGATTGTCCATTGCACCTGAACATCTCAACCCTGATGCAAAATGTAACAATAGACTCAGCGGTAAATATGTCTTGTTTAAATACATCCTTCGAGACTTTCTTTGACACGGAGAGACAGCCGGGAAATTATACAGTGAAGGTTAGTATATTTTAGCGTTACCTATCACTTGTTTATAGACAGTTTGACAGGTATTATATAATACGATGATGAACCAAAATACACCAAAATCTAAAACGAACACTTGATAACCTTAGTATGAAACTTCTTCAAATTTCAAACATGTTCTTATGAGAAAGTTGATAACCGTGTAACCCTTCTTCAAAATTGTCATAATTTGAGACCAAAATTTTCCATCAGATCAGCTATTCATTCCTGGACCAGTCAGGGCAAATTCTTGAAGAGAGAGTGCTTGGAAATGTTCATCTTAAAGGTAACTGCGTTTTATGAAGTTGATGATTTATTTTTCTTCCTCTCGCTTATCATAAGTTAAGTATCAGTTACGCGTTAAATATACAGGTCAGTTTGTATAAGGTTCAAAAGACTTCACAATAAATACGGACTAAATTCAAACTTTGAAAGAGTTAGTGGACAACAATTATATAGCGACATTCTGCGTTTTTTCGGACAAAACGAAAATTTGGGCATATTTTGGCGAGCAATCAACAAATGAATGGGTTGTAGATCGGTTTGCTGGGTCGTGAGGTTAAACTGGAGATAGCTTAGAATATCATTGAGATTTGCTTTCAAAAACCATGAACTGCAAAATAGCTTACATGTACGAGGCAAAAGTACTTTCTTGAAAACCATATGTTTCTTGGATTTATCCGCCCATTCTTGTCTCCGTTTTTGGTTAACATCCCTAAGAGAAAAAGTACTTTAGCAAGCAAGTATAATAATTACTTTTAAACGATGATTTGAACTCTCACAGCTGCTCTAGTATTAAAAGAATGCCATTTCGAGTCTGGAAATTGTGCAGGCTGGACTAACCTTGGAGGCAAGGAAAAGTGGAAGTTCTCCCAAGGTAAGAAGAAGGATATTTCTACCTGCTTAATTTTTTTTTTTTTTTTTTTAAGAAAATATACGTTGTAGGGATCTCTGCGTCATAATCTTTTTGAAACTGTCCCGGTCAATCTCCATACTTATGTGAAGGATTGGCTAGAAGTAGCTTGGTCCTTTTCTATATAAATGTGTTATTACTGACTCAATATTACATCTCCCAGGTCATTTTGCCTACATCGGAAGATCTTCCAGAGGACAGCTTAAGAGTCCTTTGTTATCAGGGAAACCAGCTAATGAGATAGTGGGTTTGTGCCTACGGTTCAGATACCTCATGCCAACTAAATCAAAGTCGTATTTGAAAGTTCTACTTTGGGAAGCAACAGAAGAAAGGGAGTTATTAGTTTGGCAGCTGCTTGGATACCATGGTCCAGGATGGTCAGTGGCTCAGGTGGTTTTACCAAGCTCTGTATCTATTCAGGTAAGTGAAGCTTCCATTTCATTTGAGGGAAATCTCTTTTTATTTGTATTCATGGGTGAGGTTTATATCTATGCATGTTACAGCCTTGAAACATTTTATTTAATTATTGATAACATCATTTTCTATTTCTTTCTATATGTTCTTGTTTTGTGACAGGTTATGTTTGAGGGAGAAGGCTTTGTTGATGACCCAGTGAATGTGGCAATTGATGACGTCAGCATAACGACTGAGAACTGTGTTTTACTACCTTACTATGCAAAGCCAGGTGATCTTTTCTTTCTGCTCCCTCTTTTCATTCCTATACTTTCGAATAAGGAACTTAACGGTCATTTTAATCTTCCAAAATCCTTACCGGTTACGTTTGAGGCGTACACTTGGTTTGCCAACAGCTCATGGCCACTAGTAGGCTGGTCATGACAGTAGCAACCAGAGCAGAGACTTAAGGTTCAGTTCTGTCCTATTTTTAACTCATTAGTCTGCGATAATAATGTATTCCGGCTTTGTAAACTTCTTTCACAGAAATGTGGCACAGTTTCGGTCATTATTTCTTTCTCTTTATGGCTTTTCATTTATAAAGAAAAATGAAGTAGGAAACTTATTTCGCCGAGTTTTTTTTTAGGTTTTCACTGTGGCGAAAAAGAGTTTCGATGTGACAATGGGGAATGTGTCAAAAATGATTTAACATGTGATGGTGACCTCGCGTGTAAAGATGAATCGGACGAGGAGAACTGTGGCTGCCCTTCCAGTGAGTTTTCTTGTCAGGATGGAAAATGTATCCCCGCGGCAGCTGTGTGCGATGGTAGCAACGATTGCTCAGACGGAGATGATGAACATAACTGTCGTAAGTTCATGATTGCGTTAAGGACACCAAGGGAGTTTTCTTTTAACTCTTGTGGTCATCTCGGACTAAAGAGTGATTTTTTTTTCCGATACGTTTCAATAAGACAGTCGTTAAGTCTGGCCAGCGGTGATGAAACATTATTCCGCAGTATTTATATTCGCATGACTCAAATTAAAGATTTGCTTTTCAGGTAGTCCATGTCCTTTCAAATATCATTGTCTTGATGGTACTTGCATTTCCTGGTCTAATACCTGTACGGAAATACCGTTCTGTGAGGACGGTACTAACACACCGTCTGTATGTGGTAAGCATAACACAGCAGCCTAATGTATATCTAATTCTAATTAAGCGTATTTCGTGTTAATTCACAAAAACTCTAGACCATGCCTTTTTTTTTACCTGTAACTCATGAAACTAATCCTAATGATGTCTTAAAGTATCATGGTATGCTTTAGAAATTGCTGTTTAAGAAACAGTGAGAAGGTTTCGATCTTGCCCTTCCCTTGATATTTCTGCATTTCAGGAGCAGGAGATTGCCTTCTCAGTGATTTATCGTGTTCATCCGACACGTCGGAAGAGCTCTCGCAGTGTAAATCATCTTTCAGAGGTAACATTCATATCAAATTACTAAGATGCTGCCATATCTTAAAATCCACTCTTTTTCCGGTCAGTTATTTTCCATTTTTATTTATGTTTACGATATGGAGACAGAACGTCTGGTTCATTTGGGGACTGATTTGGTGGGCTTGTTTGATAAAAGACAGGGTTCAGATGAAACAAACGTAGTTAATTTTGATATTCGCGAATTACTGATTATAATTACGAAGACTCAAATTCCTACAGAAAGGCAAATTCGACTCGGTGAAACATATACGGGGTCATTTACAGTTTTCATTGTGGAAAATTGGAACAGTCAGTTTTAGTTGTAAAATTCCTTTGGTTCATTTTACACATTGAAAATGACCGTATCAAAATGAAGTCGTTCGTGAACAATAACCTTGTGTATCCTTGCAACTCAATATTGAAAAGCGACTCCGTATGCATGGAGGGGATATTAATCCAAAGCTTTGTTATTCTTCTGTGTTTCGGTAACTAGCTGATTTTTTCCTTTCAAACAGGCCATTGTAGTTTCGACGATAATTTTTGCTCATTGAAATGTGACTGGAATGCCACGTTCCAGTGGACCATAACGTCGGGCAAGACACCAACGGAGAATACTGGTCCAAGATATGATCACACTACTTTTAGCAAGGATGGTAAGGACTACGTTCAGGACTAACACTTCTTGAGATCAATTTTCTGCCCCCGTTCAGACATTTTTTAAACGAAAATGTCGCGTAGGAAATGCCAGTGGGATATTAAGTTGTGAAATACACCCAGTAATATTTGTACTCTATCCTAGAAATATTTGGAGGACATACTCGACTGAATAAGGAAAGAATCCTAAAATTTCGTTTATTTATTTACAGAACTATTTATATCGGTTACTCTAATTTATTAAGTTTCTGATGTTGTTTTCTTGTTTTTGTTTTAACGTTTCTAATTGTTCTCTTCTCAGGGATTTATAATTTTATGTGTGCAATATGTGTAACTCCATCATTGTAAGAAATGTAGTTCTGAAAGTGATTCTGGGTTGTTAACAAGGCAAATAAGCTAATTAAAATTTTCCAGGGTTATCCTCTTCGACGTTCTATATTAACGTTATAAATATGAGACGGTGCAAAATGCAGAATCTTCTCTTGATGTTTACGTCTTCCTACCATTTTTTTGGCATAGCCTGAACTTTAAAAGAAATAGCTGTTATTCTATAACAGGGTCGTATATCTACATCGAAGCCTCTCCACAATTGCCTGGAGACAGAGCAAGGCTGTTAAGTGACTGGATGGAACCCAATGAAGTAGTGTGTATTCAGTTTTGGTATCATATGTACGGGTCAGAAATCGGCAATTTGAGCATCTACTTAAAAACTAACCAATCAGAGACAATTGTTTGGACACTTTCGGGAAATCAGGGGGACCAGTGGAAGTTCGCACAAACAACTTTGAATAGTGGAGATGCTTATAAGGTAGGCCTCCTTGTATTTATGGTTACCGAGTACTTACGGCTGCAAAATGTAAGGTTTGTTCATCGACATCTATAATTCATGAAATCAAATGTATGAAGGTACTTTCGTGATCATTGAGTTATATCATAACTTTCAGCATCACTATCATAGCTACTCTTATTGTTAATGTTATCGTCAACGTCATCGTCATTATTGTTTTTTACAAGTTTATCATTGAAGGAATGGTAGGCTATGGAAGCAGCGGTGATATAGCTCTGGATGATCTGACATTGCTTGATGGAAACTGTAAGACAATTATTACACAGAGTAAGTGAAATAAGATATTTAACAAAGTTAGATGTCCATAAGCCAATGGTTATGCATGATTTTTGTTTCATTTTCGTTGTAGTAGGAAGAATGATTTGTAAATATTGCATTTAAATGTACAAGCAAATTTTTGTTTCTCGTGTTCCGTAATTGTAAATTTGTACGTTTCTAGATAATTCCTCGCAACAAACAGTCTTTAAACTAAAATAACGACTCAAGCTTTGCCGTTAACTTATTGGAAATTTCGTTGTACCAGCGCAATAGAAAAGCCAGACATAAAGTGAGAGTTAAAGGAGGCATACATTTGCACTCGGTTATAGCATAGTGAGTAGAAATAATTTACTGGGCAGTTTCTTTTGTGGCATGTAACGACAATGAGGTCCTCTGACCTCTTTGCACTTTTAGAGAGTTTGAACTGTGATTTCAAAGAAGACACATGCGATTGGGAGGCTCAAGGAGGGTGGACACTTTCAAAAGGTGTGTCATGATTGAAATTTACCTTAGCGCACTCTTCAGTTGAGAGTCGATTTGAACAGTTATTGCATGTTTTAAACAATTTTCGGCTTTTGATAATTCTTTTCTGTAACAATCTCTTATCAGACGATTCCTCTATTTTTCTTCGCCCTGGAGCACATGCGGTGCGTCACTCTCTATTTTCGCCTCCGAACATAAATACCAACGAATGGAAGTGTTTACATCTCTGGTATTTCATCAGAGGCAACGACGAGTATGAAGCATCCATAACAGTGTTATTAAAGATGTTACCATCAAACCTAACGACTTTGCTTCTCTTCGCGGACCAGACTACATCTGGGACAACATACACACAAACACCGTTACCAAAAAATTTCACAGATGCTCAGGTATTTACCAAACATGCTCGTATTGTAGACTTAGATATTTCATAAGCTTTTTAAGCTTCCTGCGAATTAGAGTTATTTTAAATAAATTTGATGTTGAATTCGAGAACCTTTTTAGTTAGAAAGTTATGCTACACACTCAAGTGGTGTTACTTCGTTATTCAAAAAGACGTTATTTCATATCATTATGTAGATCGAAATAGTGGGAACGAATGAATGGAAAATTCTGGCTATCAGACAAGTATCCTTTTCTAAAGACTCTTGTGAGCATATTCCCAAGCGAAGAAATGGTAAGTCTCCATCACAATTCATGGCCTTTATTCACGTGTATATTGTTCCGATTGTTGCTTGTCGAATTATGGCTATGTATCTCTAGATGCCACAAAACAATGAAGGTTTCCTAATAGTTTGGCTCTTGCTCTCAGTATCTTTAGTAAAAGGCACGCAGCTATAAACAGTCGAATAATGCAATTTCAATTTACACAGCGTATAAGTGTATCTAATTTACATTTATAGATTCCAAAGAGGTAGTTGCTGAATACACCTTGAAAGGGCCTATTTGAAACCGATTTTTGTCATACTTTGTTATATATGTAATCTTTAGATTTGCATCAGCATAAACCCCTTGGAATGGAAAACGGTGAGATTCTTGACAAGAAGATCACCTCATCTTCACAAGTGGATGTGATTCATGCCGCCATCCAAGGAAGACTTCACTTCCAAGCAACCCCAGGCAAAGCAGGGTCTTGGTCCGCTGGTTCAGAGGACTCAAGTCCATGGCTCCAAGTTGATCTGAATATTCAGAACACAAGAGTCACAGGGGTTGCGACGCAAGGGAGAAACGGACCCTTTGCTCAGTGGGTCACGGAATATAAGCTGCAGTACAGCAACGATGGAGTAAGCTTCAAATACTACAAGGAACCGGGACAAACCATAGAAAGGGTACGTACGAAATGTAGAAAGAAGTCTATCACAGATGCAAGTCCGGCCAGGACAATTAAACATTTTTGTAGTAAGCAAAATTCTGAGTATTAAGGAAGCTGGTTTAAAGAGGCAAGAAAGGTTATTGATTCTAGGTGCGGTTGTCAGATGGAGAAATATACAATTCATTTCTCAAATGTGTGTTTCTTGGGAACAGCACCACACGCTCGTGAAAAATGGATGACGCTTCAAGACCAAACGCTGATCTATTTCCACTCATGATTTTTTACATCACTTATCCTCACATAACAATCCCCTACAAAGGCAGTTTTTCTGACGGATATCATCCCGTAAGCATTCTCTGTATGAACAGGGCTTAGTACAGATAAGTAATATCGCTTCGAGAGATTGTTCATGGGCTAAAATGTGAGTTACTTAACATCGTAGATCTAATTATTGGTATTTACAAAGCAAAAACTATCATAACGCGACGTTTTGTCGATACAGCACTTTGCTGGAAACGCTGACCAGGATGCTGTCGTTTTTAATGAACTTAATCCACCCATCAGAGCACGTTACATCCGCTTTCGACCTGTGGCTTGGTATAAAGCAGCTTCAATGAGAGTTGAACTGTATCAGGATGTAGAAGGCAAGTCAACTACTTACGGACGTTTGGTTCTATCTTTTCTTTTCTGCGAAAACGCGTAGATAAGACAAAATATTCGGTATTACTTGGCAAAAAGAAAAATGTAAAACAGTGTAGGTGCCATTTTGTATGTAAAAATTACAGACACCGTTGGCTAGAATAATGATGTCTGTATTTCCAAGGAAACTTTCATAGTAATCGCTGTCTAGAAGAATATTATATAATAGTTTACGGAAATGTTTTAATTCTCATTGAGTCCTGTTTTCGGGATCATCGTGCACAGCCATTAGATTTCGGTTAGTTAGCTTGAACAAGTGTTTACAGTCAACAGCCTACCTCAGAAATTTGTAGTTCGTTGATAAGGTTTGACAATTATCATGAACATTGATAAGGTATTTTTCCTTACAATGATCTGCTTCATTACCGTTAGAGTGTAATAAAGCTCTGGGAATGGAAAACAGCGAAATCTCGAGTGGACAAATTCTTGCCTCTTCACAATGGGATGGATATTCCGCCGCAAGCCAAGGAAGATTATTCTTTCAAGCGACAGGGAGGACACAGGGTGGATGGTCAGCTGGCAAAAGGAATGCATGGCAGTGGTTCCAAGTTGATCTGGGAAGTCAGTACGTTAAAATCACAGGTGTAGCAACACAAGGCAGGCAAGAACACGATGAGTGGGTAACCAGTTACAAACTGCGCTACGGGAATGACGGAGAGAGCTTCCAGTACTTCAAGGAAGAAGGGAAAGTCGAGGACAAGGTAAATAAAAAAATAGTCAATTAAATGTTTATCATGCAGATAATGTTTAGCAAACAGTAATCAATATCATTCAATTGCCATTTTTTAACCTCTGATAATGTCAACGGACGATGACATTATCAGAAGTTGAAAAATGGCAATTCGAGGTCAAGCGATAAAACTCCATATCAGCTATTCAGTTAATAGGCAATGGATAACCAGTTGGTCAGATAAATCTCCGCCTTAGTCAGTTATTATCACCAGTGCTCGTCGTCTTATGTTTTTCTCTTTTATGAACTGAGAAGTTAGACGAATGTAATGAATTGATATGCTATAAAGCCTTAATCACTAGCTCTCGTGTTGGGACGTTCTTTGCCGCGTACTCGTTACCATATCCTATGCGGTATCCACTGAAATTATCTGCATTTTAGAGTTGCCCTTCCTTAAATCTAATCAACAAATCTTACTTTACATTCGTCTTACTTAGGGATTTACTGGAAATATGGACCGTGGCACCATTGTTCATCACGAACTTTACCCAGCCATCAAAGCCCGTTTCATTCGCCTTCAGCCCCTGTCTTGGCATAACTGGATATCTATGAGGGTTGAATTGTATGGATGTTCAGATGGTAGGCGAAGCATTTCCTTCTAAGAGAAAATAATTCTCATTTTCAGTTTCTACGATACCTGTATCCGTTACAGGTCCTTTAGCTCAAGAACTTTTTTACCCTTTGGATACAGTTGTTCGCTTTCTTTTCTTTCCTTTTTTTTATTTTTATTTTTTTCAAATTTATTCATTGTCTGACTGAGGAAAATCACCAGGAAATAATTGTTTAGAGGGTATTTTGTTAGAATATATCATCAGTTAATTTAGGTTAAGAAAGCTTCGGTATATATTATGATCCGGGATATTTATTTACTTGGTTCGATTTCCATACAACAAACAGAATGTCAAAGGGATCTTGGCTTAAGAGATAAAGCTATTCCTGATGCACAGCTAAGTGCCTCATCGCAACTGGATCATAACCATGCCGCATCTCAAGGAAGACTGGACTATGAAGGTGAACGTTGGAGAGCATCAGCCTGGTCATCTCGCACTAAAGATAAAAGCCAATGGCTCCAAATTGATCTTCGAAGTATATACATTAAAGTAACCCGGGTGGCTACACAAGGTCGAACTGGCACAGGGCGCAAGAACTGGCAGTGGGTAACACATTATATGGTGCAGTTCAGTGATGATGGAGAAAACTTTACTTTCTTTAAGGAACTAGGACAGTCAGCGGCAAAGGTATTGTACATTTTTTTAACGGACTTGTTAACGTTGTGTTCTGTTACAATGATAGATATTTAGAGACAACAAATTGCCGTTCTTTCAATTTAGAATTTTAGTGGAAACAGCGACATCAGTACTGTTGTTTATAATGACTTAAACCCACCGATCAGAGCTCGCTATATCCGCTTTATCCCACAAGCCTGGTATGGCCATATATCGATGACGGTGGAGCTGTATGGATGTCTGGAGTATAGTAGTAAAGGTGAGGAGTGCAGCTCGGACTTAAAATAGGAATGTATCTCTACGAAAATAGCGAAAGAAAGTTGTTCTAAGAATGCTGTAAATGCATCAATAGCACAGTGCAGCTTTCTCATTAATTAGCAGCTTTATGTAGACGACGTCGACTTCTAATTTACTCAAGTGTCAGATCTATTTGTTATGTATTCATTCATATCAACGATCACTTATTGACTGAATGAGTGAGTGACTAATATGCTGATTGATCAACGGACTGGTTGCCAGAGTGGGTAACTGACTAACGGACAATGTCAGTATGACACGTTATAACTTTGGGTTTGGACTAAACGTTAGCTCGGTAAACACATAATCCCACCTAATTGGTGAATTTTGCCAGCACATCGGGCTTCTTCGGTCTTACCTTGGGTATTTTGGCTTTACTACCTTTCTCCAACATACGAATTATGGCTCGACCGAAATTGCCTGTTGCGCCGCCCAAGAGTACCACCTGACGCGATTAGGTATTGTAGCTATTCTTGCAAATAAAATGTCTGACATGGTCCTCATCGTGTTTACACCCTTTAGTTACCATGAATGGATCTGAATGTCGACAAGCTCTTGGTATGCAAGACGGTTTAATATCAGATGGACAAATCAGCGCCTCTTCGGAATATAATGACTTTCATGCTGCAATCTTTGCTAGGCTGCACATTGCACCGATCACCGCAAAAAAGGCTGGTTCCTGGACTGCGGAGAGAAATGATTTACATCAATGGTTGCAAGTGGATCTAGGAAGCCAGTACACCAGAGTAATACGAGTTGCAACGCAAGGAAGACATGATGATAGCCACTGGGTGACAAGATATAAGTTACAATATGGAAATGACGAACAAAAATTACATTACTACAGGGGTTCCGGAAAATTTTCAGATAAGGTACTGTAATTAAATGATGCACTGCAATCAACGGTATTTCATTCTTCATTCCTTGACTTTCAGCTTTAACGCCGATTCAGGGACCCAAAACCTCAATCAATATCTGGCACGGGAACAAATTCTATTGGTCATAACTCTAGGCCTGCTCAATTTTTTTCCTGCAAAAAAAGAAAAAAAATTATCCTTTCCCCGTAGATATCCCAATAACATATCGAACCGTATTGGGAGGAAGAGGAAGCTGGATCACTCCCTTTCAGAAACTGCAAACTTTTTAAAGAGTGCTCCAAATGCGATAAGTTAACCTATTTACTATAAACGTTTGTTTTATTTCTCCTAACCTAGACTTTTGTTGGAAACTCTGATCGAGACACTGTCGTTTTTAGTGAACTAAACCCGCCAATCTATGCACGTTTTATCCGCTTTCGACCACAACATTGGTTTGGCCACATAGCCATGAGGGTAGAGGTCTATGGCTGTCGAGGTGAGGAAGTATTAATCCTCTAAATCATTAAAAAATGCAAAAAAAATACGACTTTTCGCATTATTTTCACAATCTTTCAACTCTCATCTAGTCCCATATATTGTCCTTCAATTCAGTCTACCATACCTCCTGCTGTGCACGTGTATTTTTTACTTGCGCTTGATTGCTGTCAACGTTTGTAATAACTAGTCAGGATTGAGTCGCCAGTTGTGATTTACCAACAATCCATGCTGGTTTTTTTTTATTAGTTGTTTGTTGTTTGTTTTTGGTGTTTGTTTTGTTTCATTATTTTTTTACCATGCAATTTGAGGATACACGTAAGTATCAAGAATTCTCATAGATTTATTAAAACCCTCAGAATGTACGAAACCCCTCGGTGTGGGCAACGGTGCAATATCTGAAAGACAAATGAGTTCTTCTTCCCAACTGGACGATGCTCATGCGGCTATGCGAGGAAGACTCAACTCCAAGGCAGCTAAGGATAAAGGAGGATCCTGGTCCGCCGCCTCGAACAACCGCAGCCAATGGCTTGAGATAGATCTCCGTAGTCAGAACATCAATGTGACCCGTGTAGCCACTCAAGGAAGACATGATTCCAGCCAGTGGGTGACGAAGTACAAGCTGCAATACAGTAAAGATGGTGTTAACTTCCAATATTACAAAGAACCGATGAAAAATGCACATAAGGTGGCGCATATTTTTTCACGGACAACTATACTTCAGTTTCCTTTTCCAATTCCCTCTAGTCATCTTACGATGAATAATATTTATTTGCCAAACACAGAATTTCCGTAGCTTCGGTGTAGTTATTGTATCTTTAACCTGAAGTTATTATGCCCTATAATCAATGCTAAGTTTCGTCAAACCTTGGCATACTGATTACAAAGTTGAATTGTCTATTGGATAGGCAGAAAGAAACAAATTACACTTAGTTGTAAGTAAGGAGGTGAGATTACTTTTCGTTTAACAATGGTTTGGCGTGGTCTTTACTCTTATCGATAACCATAATCATCACCACAGCGGTAAAAATGTTGATTGTCGGTGATCGACTGTCAATTGGTTTTTAACCACATACCGACGTCATATAAAACGATTCTTTCAGAGCGTGACTATTGCATGACACGTTTACACGAGCTTTTTACGGCTGAACTTTGTACTCTTATCGACAATCGCAAGTTGGCCAATGAGATTGTGATGTTACTGCCAGTTGTCGTAAAACTAGCATTGCACACGAGCTCTATAACTAAGCAAGACGCTTTGTTCTCAAAATTTTATCTTTTAACCCTAAATATTACGATTATTGAGATTATTAAGAGTGCGTTAATCGTTATCTCTTTAAAAACGTGTTTCATTCATTAACATAAAGGATGTACAATTTTCAATCTGTAGATTTTTGATGGGAACGTTGAGCAACACGCCGTTGTTTATAATGAACTTGTCCCGCCTATCACAGCACGTTTCATCCGTTTTTGGCCTGTTGACTGGTATGGTCATATATCAATGAGAGTAGAACTTTATGGATGTCCAGGTAATTTGGGATGTGTGTCCTTCCTAATAATTTTCATTCAGTTCATCAAGCGATCAAATAATTGAATTCAGATTTGTTTAGGTGTCGAGGCATTCCAAGGAAGCACATTTAAAGGGAATCGTTTTTTGGTACTTGCTAAATGATAAAATATTTTCGTGCAACACTGGAATTTTATACTATGAGGATCTGGTATTTCTAGTGTCTTGTTGCACCCTTTCAGATGACCGTCCCTGTGACACATCAGTAGACTGGTGTGGATGGAAAAACGAACGTGGCTGGAAAAGAATCAAACATAAAAATCTTGATCAGATCTCTCAGAGCGAAGGTGGCGGACAAGAAGGTTCGTGATGACTTGAAAAAAAAGCTTGATAATAATTAAATGTCGTCTGTATCGATAAAAAAAAAACTTTAGTATTTGCAACAGACATTGAAAAAAGGATGACAATAGCGTCACAATAAGAATTATTTTGGTTTCGTTTTTACTTTTTCCGTTTAAGGTTTTAGTGTCGACAGCAACTTCGAGGTCCATCTCCCTGACAGCGAGTACGGTTACATATCATTATCAGATGTGGTACTGGATGAATGCTGTTTTACCATTTGCTTTTGGTTGAATACTGCTGACAGTGGCTTCTTTATGGAATACAAAAATGAGGGATCAGCCGAAGAAAATGAGATTCTAATTTTCGGAATCTATTGTGGAAACAACACATTTTCTCTTCAAAGCGGCAGCGAAAGAAGGTATCACGGTGGGATTTGTATAGGGTTGTTTCTTATCATATATCTTACTCACAATCTTTGACATTGCCTTAGCAGAGATGACACCTGAGAATTATCAATTGTTGGGAAGTTAACTGCCTTTAACTATGGTTCATCCAGAGAGACCTCGCTCTCTCTGTCCCTTCATTCAAAGCCTACAAATTTGTGTCAGTCAGTATTGAGCGTGATATATTATCAGTAATTATAAGTTATTGAAAGACAGTGTCTTTCGCTCTTTCTATACAGAGAGCATTCAATGGACGTGATGGACTCCACCTGGCACCACGTGTGTGTCTTCTGGGATGGGAAAGTTGGAATGCTTGCAGTTTTCAAGGATGGTCAAAGAAATGTCAAATTAAATAACTTCATGGCGCCCCTACTTCCGAAGCCGAATAAAGGTGGGTAGAAGAAGCTGGGGATTAGGGATCTCTCATTTAAGGAATTGGTGATCTTCTTCTGAGTTGCACCTGGATGCAAAGAGGTTCAGCAAATTGACAAATTTAACCTAAAGGTGAACACTTTTAAGTTAGGTTTGATAACGCCGACAGTTTTGCGAAGTTGACTTATTGTTTGCGGCCACAACATGGAAAGACTTTGATGAAGGAAGCTATACAATCAAATAATTCGGTCACTTTCCCCCTTTTGCTTTGCATCTTTGAACCGTTTAAACCAATTTACCCTGTGAAAAATTTGTTTTAATTTGCATATGCAGGGGTTGTGACGATTGGTTTTAGGACTATAAATGGAACTGCGTCTGTTATTTTTGGTAAACTGAGTGGCTTTAATATTTGGAGCACCGTAGTCACGGCAGAAGAAATACTGCGCATGTCTTACGGTTGTGGAAAGGAAGTTGGCAATGCAATGGCCTGGGGAAAAGTTAGAAATGGGCTTATTGGGGAAGTAGAGATACAATCACATCCAACTTGCAACGATGGAAAACGTAAGTCATACCTCGATAACTTTATTATTGTTATCGTTTTAGGCCAAACATTCAAAACAATTTATTTTGTTGTGGTTTTCGTTTTAATAGTTATCTCTTTAAAAACGTGTTTCATTCATTAACATAAAGGATAGTTTGAAACATGAACCATCTTCACGTCTATAATTTGATTCAAGGATTTTTTTCTCTTATTTTTTTTGCTTGTAGTTGATCACTTCATTTCCTTTCCCGTTCTTGACTCTCTTTAATGGTGATATCTTCTCAAAGTTAAATAACAAGTGTCAACCGATAGTCCAAAAAAATACCTCTTGTTAGTTGGTCTAGTTTTCTGGCATGACCTATTCAAACTAATGCTGACTAGGACCTCTTTTGATACAGTAGTGCCTCACTCTTCGACTGACAAGAGGTTGTCTTGGGTTTTGATGAAATTACAGCATGATCAGCGGAGTCTATCGCAGGTCTCTAATATGTTATAGGTCAGATGTCTTTCATTAGCTTTCCTTTGGTCATGTAAAGGAAATTTGAAGGAATGCATGATCCTTGATTGTCACACTTGTATCATTTGCCAGACTCAAAATTCAAAATCAGGTTTACAAACACCAATTCATTAACATTGTTTGTATGACTGCCAGGTGCCAGGCTTGTTGTAGATACCGTCGATTTCAAGCCAAATGGGACCGCTGTTCTTGTGAGCCCCACATATAATAGATCAAGCGACGGGAAAAGCAGATGCTTGAGGTTTCGCTATATGCTGCAGGGGTCTGGAGATAAAACGTTGACAATTTTCCAGAAAACAGGGGGTTATCGTGAAATACCCCTCTGGACTTGGAAACGCAACTCTGGCCAGGATTGGATTTATGGTCAAGTTCCGCTGACCTCTATTACGAAGTTTAAGGTAATATCAAAACTATGGAATTTTCTTTTCCATGGCTACATTTGGTATCCTCGTACTAAATGAACAATGCAGGCCATCAATTCATTATTGTCAGTTGATGGTATTGCTGATAAGGTGCGAAACGTCTTCTGCAGTACCTAAAAGTAAGTTAACAAACTTCGTTTCCCTCTTTCAGATTTTGATTAAAGCCCAAAAAAGCAGGGAGAAAGACTTGATTGCCTTGACGGGGATATATGTCAAAGAGGGACTCGAATGCAAACTTAGACCGCTGTCGGCAAAACGAGGTAACTCACTTACCAGTATCTTGCCTTGCATTGTTACTTTATAAATAGTCCTATGTTACATCGTTTTTATAGTTTCTAATAAAATTAGCTTGGAATTTCAAAGGAGGGAAGACTGCATTACTTTTAACACGCTTTCTGTGGATCTCCTCCTTTATGACTTCTTTGCAACGAAGTTGATCATTCGTTTAACATGCGAGGCATCATTTTCTTCGAGAGAGTAACATACTTTAATGACTCACCTTTGTAAAATACCATTAATCACACTTCTCTATTCCTTGCTATGCTGTCTTCTTCATCTATGGGGAGTAATAGATGGTAGTTCATGCACTTTGCTGGTTTACATTTCTTTATTTCTTCATCTATATTTTGCTCTTTTTCCTGTTCTATTTTGTAACCTGTTTTTTTTTCGGTTTGTTTTGTTTTATTTTTTTTTCTTCCTATGCGTTCACTTATGTATCTATATATTTCTATTTACAGCCTGCAATATGGACATAACCGATCCGTCAGGATACATCTTTTCACCGGCCTATTCCGGAGATTCTCTTGATGAAATCGCGTGCACGTGGTATATTGCCGTTTCACGCAATAACAATATTCGCTTGGAATTCCAAGATTTTCACCTTCCGGACCATCCCACGTGCAAAGGCTGTTATCTCCAAATTTTTGATGGAAGTGAAAAGTCTGCTCCAGCGTTGGGTCGATTTTGCGGATATATGTATCCTCCTATTGTTATTTCTTCATCAAATCATCTCAAGATTGCTCTGCGTTGTGCTGCCAATCCCTACACGGCAAGATTCAAGATTTTTTATAACTCCAAAGCAGGTATCAAGCAGTACATCTCTTTGAATTTTTATTGCAACCAAGCAGTTTTCTAGGCCTTTCACTTTCAGGACTCTAATAAAAAGGGAGATGTAGTAATAATAAGTCACGTCATAATTTAATGTCATTGTTTTTATTTTTCAATTTTTCAGCTCACAAGGATTTAGAGTCGTCATGTTCACTTCAGCAAGGTACACAAAGATTCTTGAGCTAATTTCTTTCCATTTATTCCCTTTGAATTTGATGTAACGTTTTGCAAAACTGCATAAATTTAAACGAACGAATTCATCTCTTATATCTCACTATCGCGTAATGCCACACATTTAGACTCCCATTCAAGTTTTGTTTGCTGTGTAAAATTAATTAAAAAGAAGCTACCTAATATATTCTTTCTTCGGGCTTTTGCCCCACAACTAAAAGTGTTTCGGTGCTTCTTTTCGTTTCAACTTGCATATGATGATCTTGAATTACTAGCCTATCGATCAATGCCAATGAGCATGTGTCTTACAATTCGCCCCAGAATGCCCATCAAGCTGCAAATGTAAAGAGTTTGGTGGACAAGTAAACAAGAGGACACTGGTGACAGGAGAAGATTTACTAAATGTACCGAATCACCTTCCAACAAATGTTGGAGCAATGTATGTGACATTTGGGGTCCTTTTGACCTTGAATTATTCAAACTTTTTTCTTTAATCGTCTTTTCTTTTGAAACAATAAAATTGATCGTTCCTTCCTCGTGTTTCTCTAAACAACTGATATTCTTTTTATGTGTTTAAATAGGTTTCTCGGCCAAAATCGGATATCCCGATTGCGCAAGGAGGACTTCATAAACCTCTTTAAATTAGAATATATGTGAGTAAACCTATTTCTTCTGCTTAAGATTGTTTATTACTTTATTATTATGGTTGAGAAGACCATTTGATTTCCTTAACCAATGCCTTGATTGACAGATTTTTGTCGAAAGAAGCTTTTCCTGTACCTTCTGGACTAAGATGACCACAAATTTTTTCCATTCAATGCTTAAAGCTGTTATGTCACTGTTTTAAAAGAGTTCTCATTTCTTTTCCTCTCCCTCAGTGATCTGAGCTTCAATAAACTGCTTCGCGTGGATGAAGACAGCTTTCAAAATGTGACATCCGTCAAGACAATGTAAGTATCCATAAAATAGAGATTTATTTCATGGTGACTGAGTAATTTTTTCGCTCTAGAGTCTGGTGCAAGGTCGATTATCACATTTGTCGTAGCAATTGATATTTTTCCTTTTCGTCGCAGGAGACTTAATTTTAACTTTCTTCGAGCCCTTCCTGTTGGGGCCTTCAATGGACTACCCAATTTACGCGTACTGTGAGTGTTTTGTTTTAATAGTCTTATTTTCGTCCAATGTGTTCTCCACAGGATTTAAATGTGCTCAGATGGAAAATAGCACTAGAAATAGAAAGAAAGTACGGAGAAGAGAGAATTAGGATATCACCTTTTGCTAAGTGAATAAAAGAAATTGTTTTTTTTTTTTTCAGTGACTTAGGACAGAACCTTCTTCGGGTTGTATTCAGCGAGATGCTCGATGGAGTTTCGAATTTGGAAGTTTTGTATGTGCTTATTTCAAGTTGAAAATAATCTGACACTTTTAATTCTATGATAATCAGCTGAATCATTTCTCCTCCTGGTTTTGTTTGCAGGAGTTTTCGCTCTAACCAAATCGAGCAGCTGGAATATGGTGCTTTTAAGAACAAAAGCAATATGACTCATTTGTAAGTGCACTAAAGTGGTCTCCAGTTCACCCAGGCACACTTGGTCATTCAGTATTCACTAGCGTTATAAAAAACTGATTTGAATGTCATCGGAAAAAATCAAAGGAAGAACATGTGATCGGCAAACAGAATCCTAGCCCTAGTTTCCATACTTGTGGGCAGTTCCATCCAATAAACAAACCTCTATCTGGGCCCAGCTATATAAAGGACGGATAATGCTATCCAACGGATAAATCGCCATCCAGCGGATAAGTGATAGGAAAACGCACAGCGTTATCTGTCGGACAGAGTTTTATCCAGTGGATAGCGCAATCCAAACTTCAAACAACCGGGGCCTGGAAGTATGTTTTGTTGTTGACACTTATCCGCTGGATAGTCATTTTTCAATTGGATAGCGTTCTCCACCCTTTCAACAACTGGGCTCTGTTCTTTAAGCCAAGTCAGTTGGTAGATATTGCTTTCTTTTTATTTGTTTGTTTGTTTGCTTGTGTTTTTTACCAATAGCATTCTTGTTGCCTACTAGGTACCTACAAGATAACAAGCTCAAGGAAGTGTCAAATGGGATTTTTAAAGACCTTATGAAATTAAAAGTATTGTGAGTGAATCTTGAATGATTTCGAGGGCATCTTGAATCATACTTAGAACAAAACTTACAGAATGGAAAATAATAAGTGCATATTGCTGTATTTGCCATACGATTGTTCTATGGCAAATGCAAAGAAGTCATCTATTAGTTTTTTCGATTTTTTTTTTCTTTAATGAACTATAGTTGCTGACAATAATAATCTGTTGTTGTTATTATTGTTGTTGTTTTTATTGATATTTACATTGATAATTAGTGAGACATTCCCCTACCAATTATTCCTTTTTAACCTCGATGTATTTGAAAACTCCAGAAATCTTAGCAGGAACGAATTAACAACTGTTTCAAAGGAAACCTTTCAAGGGTTGAAGTCACTTGAGTATTTGTAAGTATACAACGCTGTTTAGAAAAAGTAAATTATTCTTTCCCCTCTTCAGAATTCGCACCTTAATGTGGAGCTATATTCGCATTTTCTAGTCACTTAATGATTTAATTTTTAACAAAAGTGTATTCGAAACTCACAGCTGAATTACATTAAAAAACCTTTCTACCACAACTGTTCAAGAATTTCCTATAGTAAAAATAGTATGAATAGTTGAATAGTTGATCAAAATGTTTTCAACTCAGTTATAAAGGAAGATCCACTGCGTGGAATGCAACCAAGTTGTGCACTAATTTGGGAGAGACAAGAGAGAGAATTTAACTTGATCTAGAGTAAAGATAAGCACAATACTTTTTCTCCTTTTTTATTTCATGTCCATGATCAATTAGTAAACGCATAATTCTGTTTTATTTGAATATGATACGCATCAGCAAAGTCGATATTGGGAAACGAAGAAAGGTGAATCAGTTATTTTTGTTTATTTGGTTTTGCATCAATTCAGATACCTGGATAGCAACAAACTCATCAAAGTTCCTCCAGACGCATTCAATGACCTCAGAAACCTCAGATATTTGTAAGTGATTTCAAAGCTTTTCAAATTTCATCAGTCTAAATTGCGTTAAATCTAAAGTTAGCTCAGTGTTACCTACAAAGAAAATCTTGTTGATGGTTTTTTTACTTGATAAAGGAAAATGTAGTAAATCAACTATCCATTTCCCACGTTAGGATTATGGGTAAAAGGCACTGCTCTTTTAAAATCAGCTTATTTTAAAGGCCCTTTTCAAATATTCAGACATTCAGCCATTAAACATCGATAGGATCGCCCTACAGAATTTCGGTTTCCCGAATTTTGTTAATTGTTAGTTTAAGAAATTAAGATAAAAACATGAAAAGAGTTAAAGTGAAGTTTTTCTATTTTGCAATTTTTAAAAGGAGACTAGATCGCTTCATACTTTGTTGCTACGCCAAGAAGTCCATCGAAGGAGTTTCTTGCGATTCCCCAGTCGATGAATTCTCGAGCTGCGATGACCTCATGAAAAACAAAACTCTTCAAACCTGTATCTGGATTCTGGGAATCTTCGCCTTCTTTGGTAACCTGGTTGTCATAATATGGCGAATCATTGATAACGAGGAGAACAGAGTCCACTCGTTCTTACTGACAAATTTAGCATTTGCCGACATGTTCATGGGTGTCTACCTGTTGGCAATCGCCATCATGGACGCGAGGTGGCAAGGTGAATATTTCAAACATGACCATGAGTGGAGATCTGGTTGGGGTTGTCGAATTATTGGAGTCTTATCGATGCTTTCCAGTGAGGTATCTGTACTAATCCTAACAATCATCACCATGGACAGATTTATTGCAATCGTCTTCCCGTTCAAATTCAAACGCCTGACCATCAGATCTGCCGTATTCACCTGCACAGGAGTGTGGATATTTGGAATAGTTATCTCAGTGATTCCAATCACCGGAATAAACTATTTTTACAATCAAAACGATGATTCCGGTTTTTACAGTCGCTCAGCAGTTTGCCTTCCTCTTCAACTGTCCGAAGGAACACCGGCCGGTTGGCAGTATTCCGCCTCCTTCTTCATTGGGATGAATTCTGTTTCTTTTACCTTTATCCTGGTTGCGTATATCTCAATGTTTTTGACGGTAAAGCGTGTAACCCACTCTGTTCGATCGACGAATTTAAACAGGGAATCCGCTATGGCCAAGAGACTTGTTTTCATAGTCATGACAGATTTTTGCTGTTGGATGCCCATAATAATCATCAGCATTTTGTCTCTGACAGGAAATTTCAATGACCCAGACAAAATTGCTTACGTGTGGATTGCAGTGTTTGTTCTTCCCCTCAACTCTTCCCTTAATCCAATCCTTTACACGTTTTCCACCGATAGAGCCAAACGTAGCTTTAGCCAGAAGGGGAAAAATGTCACTGGTTTCGTTATGAAGACCTGGAACAGACGAACGGAAGGTGGGTATTCCTGTTAAGGAATAGTTTGGTGATCATATTCTGAATGCTATTTTCATCTTAAAGATTCGAAGAAGCCGTAGAAATTATCTTATTCAGCTTTTTAAGCGTTCTCGTAACTCATCGTCTTCACTCTCAAGTAGCTGCCAGAAGAAAAGCCAAACATGATTAAAAAAACAAAACAAAACAAAAAACAAGCTAATGCGAACAAAAAAGTAAACAAAACCAATTGGAAGATTTTTCAAATCAAGCCTGATCACATAAGGCCACACGGCACATCAAAGCTAACGTAATCAAATGGATTCAATAATTGTACACAAATTATTCTAAAACTAACAATATGCATGGTGTTGAGTCTTCCAGTCGCCTTCAAAAAACCCTCCTTTTCTTTTCCTTCTTGAAACGTACCTCTATTCATGACAAGTATCCTATTATTTTTACTTTTAAAGATCGAATGTCCTGTTCCTCGAACATCTCTGGAAAAACGTTGCTCTCCAAAGTCCTTTCCATTTCCAGCCCCCAGCCAAAAGCAAAGGTATTGAAAAAGCCGCAGCTGGAGGTTGTTGTCCTGCACGCTAATCTGAAGCTGATTGAAGAAGTAAATATCTTCAAAGATGATACTGCTGGAAAACAATCCATAGTAAGTATTTCCTTGTTAAACAGAATGGCGCTTTGTCAAGTTAAGAGTCTTAATCTTCAGTAGGCCCTAGTTCCACTCAAGCTATGTTTAGATCCCCCCCACTTTCGGAGAGGCCATTGCAAGAACCGATCTCATGCTGCATATTTTTCGCTAGTTGGCAAACACCCTCCGTGGGAGTTTAGCAACATGTACCTTAATCGAGGGAGAGCCCTCGGAATAAGGCTTACATGTCGAATATATTATTTTTTGCCTTCATATGTTACAGGATGCTCAAGAACTTTTCTCAAAAGGTGGAATCAACCTTGTTCTGTTTATTTTTTTTTTTTACTACCAACTAATCTTGTGCAAGGATTTTGGTTATCTCACAAAAATTGGCGAAAAGCACCCCCTCACGTGCTTCAGATTTAGCATTGCCATGTATGACGTGTACAAACTAGTATGAGCACCACATTACCTTTCGCTCTTACAGGGTTATGTTACAGCTTGGTGTGAGGAAGGAGGTGTTCTAAACATGGTGTTGCTAAAGTACTTTCGAAAAGAAATGAAGGAGGACTGGAATCGGGAAGTGGGTGTCGTACAGAGCCTATCTTGTGACGAGCAGCTCCTATCCAATGTGTTACATTATCGATGGCACTGCAAAAGTAAGTGACCCTACTTTTTTCAATGCAACTACCGGTTTAGAATTGCCATTAATTTTTCGCATCATTTTTGGAATCCCAGATGATTTCACCGCTCTCTGTTCCATACAGATGATTTTTCCCTTTTGTTGGAAAATGAGGGGGGGGTGGGGGTCGACATTTGAACCCTTTTTAGGGAATTTAAAGGTGTAGTGCTGAACTTTTGAAGTTTTTGTTGTTGTTGTTGTTGTTTCTTTTTGTAGCTAGCGACCTGAATATTGAGCAAGGCAAAACGAAGATCAATGATTTACAAGGAAACAGTTTGTAAGTTGTTGACGAACGAGAACTTTATTATCAAACATATTGAAATCTCCATAAATTTGATAACAAGTAATATAACAGATTTTGAACGATAAGTTTCTTTTTTTTAAGCCTGATATGTTTCGACTTTGTGTCGAGCTCAACTCTGGAAGATTTTATTTGTGAGAAAGGAACTGTCATCGACTTCGAATCAATTTGTGCGGTAGCTTGTGACGTCCTAGGTGCAATAGAAGGACTACAGGAACTTGGAATACTTCATAACAACATCACAACAAGCAACATTCTGATCAGCCAGTGCCCTAGGGTAAGTCAAGTGGTAAAACTATTAACTATTTCTCAGTCATTCTCATTTTCCAAGTTAGGGAATAAATTTGAAAAACTGTACTAGCGTGTTAAGTGACCCGTAGGTCGCATATGTACATCTATGTTCTTAAATGTTTGCTACTGCAAAGTTTGTCTATCACCGAAAAGTTGACAATTATATAATCCTTTATTCAAGTGTTACTTTGCTTTGAAAGTCCTTGTAGTTTTGCACAAACGTTTCACGAGCTTCTAAGGAAATTTCGTGAGAACAGAGAACGTTTCACTCGCATTTTCACAATACTGTATGGCATATCTTTGATTGCTTAGATATCGACCCGAAATGGTCCAGTGGGGAAAAGCGTTTTTGGTTTGGACAAAGATTTTGAACAATCCAATTGAGCGTGCACTATACACTTAAACCGGAGATTCCTTGGTCGAATCTCTCCCTGATCAGTAAATGGGTTTCGTATTTCTGGATGGTCCCTTGTTCGACACGTAGACCAGCGCTGTAAATTGTCAACTGGTTTGGCTCCTCCTTGTTGAGGTTTATAATCAAGTTCCTTTTGATGTATAATACAAGTTTTTAGATATTTGAGCGCTTTTTTCATTACAGAGACACAAAGAAAACCACTGAGTCACCCACAATTCTGCCACCCTTATACGGTTTTTTTTATTGTTGTTTTGGGTTGGAGAGAAGTTATGTTTATTGCCTCTATGCATTTTCTTTTGAAGATTCCTCCAATCAAAGCAGTCTTGGGTGGATTCTCCCGTGCATCCAAGGTGAATGGAGAAAGCGCGTTCACAAACCAAGCTATTGATGAACAGATTTGTTTTGGCAGCCATGTTGAGCAGTTTGGACAGTTGTTGATCACACTACTAGGACACTGTCACGGCTCTAGTAAACAGTTCAAGGTAAACAAATGTTCCATTTACTTAAGTAAAATATTTCCGCTTGGATAGTGAAAAAGATACATAGTGACCTCGGTACATACATCTTCCTTTCTCCAATAGCTACATGAAATTATGAACCTGTGCGTTGAGGAAACACCAGAGAAGAGGCCTACGGCGTCTTGCCTCCGACAACTCTTGGAAGAAGTCTGGAGCACAAAGGGTGATTCATTTGTTTGATCTAACATACGGAGTAAAACACTTCACAAGTGTAAAATACATATATTGGTTGAGCTTTTAAAATAATCCAAAAATGTTTGTCCATCCCTGCAGTACGTAGGGTACAATCCATAAAGAAAAGCCATGTTTATCTTGTCAATAACGGAAGAATACACTACAACAAAGTGCATTAGCAATTATGCTTTGTAAGTAGTTAAACCTTGTGTAGAGTATATTGGTACGAGATGTATCACTGACATCTGTCAGTGAAAAAAAAAGGAAGTCTGAAAATACTCATTTGCTTAAAAGCCATAATGTAATTTGCCTAAGAGCCATATTTTATCCAATTACCGACTGTCTTTTAAAAGACTACAACGCATTCAGTTTGCGGCAGCTAGTTTTGTCTGCGGACAGTATGTAAACAGTATTGACACTATTCTCAAATTAGGCTGTTACCTATGGAAGAACGTGGGCAACTGCATGTTTTGAAGGCCACGCACATAGCTAAATACTGCCAAAATTAGCCAAGAAAGCTCCAGCTTGAGCAAGTAAGGCATAACAAGAAGTTGCGCTCATCCATTTCCATCAATTTAGTCATTCTGTTGGCCTCTAACACTTTCCAGGATAGTGCGTCAGTTCTTTTCAACTCTTTACCAGCAAATGTTAAATCTTGTTGTAATTTTAAGTCTTTTAGCAGGCGAACGTTAGCTACTCTTGGAGAGCGCTGCCAGACCGGCGCGCAATAATCTTTTAGACTCAGTCTTTAGTTCAAATAAATACATATTACATACCTTTGTAGATAATTATGCGATTTTATTTTACATTAAATTGTTATATCAGGCGAAGAGCCATTTCGTATGGAGATATTGGTTTTAACCATAATAATTGTTATTATTAATATTATTCGCATTGCTCCATAGCATTACTTTTCGTCGTTCTTGTGGAATCAGATTGGTAGATAAAAGTAGCTCTTGCACAGCTGATTCAGTTCAAAGAAACCACATTGCCTTCTATATTCCTCCAAGTGAATATAACACCTAAATGTATTCAACTTTTGATTATAACATAAATCTTCAAGTAGTGTAAAAGATTGCTGAAACTACGGTAACACTTCTTTATGACTCACAGAAATAAGGTGAACTGGATAGCACGTAATAATTTCTTATTTTGAGAGCAGAATAATTTCCTTAGACGTATTTACACCCCAGATCCTTACTTTCACGTGGCGTCCGTGTATTCTCAGGGCTTCTCCTGAATATTCCTTAACTTCAATACAGATGAACAAGACCCACAATGTCCAATTTTCAGCTGTTATAATGCTTCCATTGAGACAAAGTTAAAAAGATATTCAGCAAAAGCCTTCAATGCCTTTAATGTCCACAATCATTCTTTAGATTTTCTTCACACGTCGAGAACAAAGGGATACATTTCTCGTGGTTGCTTGATTATGCCCTTGTTCTGTAATCCGATTCAAAATTTTTCTCCCTTTCCCCAGCGAATAAAACCGAACTCTATTTACCACAATTGCAGTGGTTTAACGGCAGATCCCCAAGTAAATGGCCAAAAAGGCAAATTTAACCACAAGGTGTAGCAGTTATGAGAAGCGTAATTAATCGAATGCACTACTCGGCTGTTATTGTTTCGGATGATGCTAATTTTACTCCACGAGAAGGGATCCGGTAAAAATTGCTTGCTTGTTTACAGTTATTGCTTTACAGTTTAATCGAAAACTCCTGGAAAAAAATATTTTTTAGGTAATTTCAACTCGTATGGCAACTATTTTGGCGTTCATAGCTGAATTCGGTTTCTTTACTTGAAAAATATTTCAGTTAAGATGTGGAAGGAATTTTTTAGTTCATTGTGACTGTGGCATGAAATTCTTTTTTTCTGATGGCTTTTTCAGTAAGTGCAGGAATACTTTAAAAGCTGTAAAATTCAATTTTTGTTCGTATGGAGAGCGTTCCTCGCACGCACCATAAGCGAACGGTTGTCATGCAAACGGAGTCGATCGCAATATCATC